AGATTTCTTCTCCCCCAGCCCAGCCTGCTCCACATGGGGAGACTTCTTTCCTTCCTCCTCCCTCTGTCCCTTCCTGCCGTTAGTCTTTGGTGCTCATGTGCTGTGTGTCAGGAGCCGTTCTAGTTCTGGGGATGCAGCAGGACACAGGCAGGATGGGCACTGCTCCATCCTCCAGGCAGATGTGCTGGAAGGAAGAAACAGTCAATATGGCGGGAGGCTGGAAGGCGGGAAGGATGATTAGAGGTAACTCTAGGATGGGAATGGGTAGGGGTTGGGGGCCCTGTTTAGACAGCTGATCAGGGAAAGCGTCTCTGATGATGGGACATTTAAGGAGGGATCTGAAGGAAGCAGGACTGCCAGCCCTTGGGCCCTTTGTGCCAGGCCCAGCTTCATGCCTTGTGGCAGGTGCAGTCCCAGAGGCCCTGTGCATAGAAGGGTCCTGCACTGGGCTCATGTTCTGCTGTCACTATCTCAAAAATCTTGATTTTCCAGCAAAGACCAGCATTTTCATTTTGTGAAGGACCCCAGGAGTATTGTGGCCAGTCCTGTCTGAAGTTGGAGACAGAGGAGACATGAAGTTGGAGACAGAGGAACATTAGGGGCAGAGGTCAAAAGGTGGGACTGTGTTGGCGGCTGGAGCCTGGAGTGGGACAGGGTCTCATGGTGGGCACCCCTATTTCTGCCCTTTGAGCCTCTGCCCTCATGCCCACTGCTCACTGTGGTTCTTACCCCTTCAGGGAGGGGCTGCCCTGGTCCTGGGTCAGGGACAGCCTCACAAGTTCTTGACTTAGAAAGTGCTTTCCCTGCTTGGCTGGGCTTTAAAGCAGACTTTTTTTTTTTTTTAAAGATTTATTTATTTATGCATATATATGGGGTGTAGGCCAGAGGTACAGAGAGTGAGAGGATTCACCAGAGACAGAGTGGGGAGCTGAACAGGCGGATCTACTGAAATACACAGCTGAGGGGAGCAGTGGGTGAGTCAAGAGATGTCTGCTGCGCCATGTGGGTCAGCTCCCTGGCTGGGGATCGAACTCAGGTCTCAGCAGTGGTAGCTTGATAGTGCTGAGACTTAACTACTAAACCACCAGAGGGAGAGGGGGGCTGACTCTTTTTCTTGTTGGGGGGACACTTTCCTGGAAATTTTCCTCTGGTTTCCCCACAAAGAGGAGACTGAGACAGACTTAGGTGCAAGTAGTTTGTGTAGGAGGTGATCCCAGAAGGCAGAAGAGGGGGTGAAGGGGTGGGGAGAGTGAGACAAGGAGGAAGGCAAAGCACAAAGGTGGGGGGTGGGGGGGTAAGCGGTTGTCTTCCAGGTTGCTGTTTTAGGTAGCGCAGCCTGAGTTCTGGCCCGAATGTGGACAGAATGCCCGCAGAGTTGTTTTGTAGACATCATCAGGGGAGGGCTGTTCCAGGTGTTAACTGCCTGCCTGGTGGGCGTTTGGGGTGAGCTGGGTCACCAGGCATGGAACCATCCACCACTGCTGAGGTGGACCAAGAAGGTGTGACCTGGACCACTCTTGAGTTTGCTGCACTGGGGAAAGTGGCTGCAGGGTCCCCCATCTGCAGATCCCTTGAGAAGGCAGAAGTTTCCACTAGCCAGTTGCTTTTGCCTTCCTCCCACCCCCATTCCCAAGACATCCCAGGACACTCCAGCCTCTTTTCACTGAGGCTTTGTGGCCCCTTCAGGGAACTCTCCTCATCTGGATCTAAGGTTGACCAGGTTGACCTGCTCCTGTGGCCCAATTTGGGTCTGGGGGCAGCACACACCTGACCTGCCTGAACGGGCAGTTCCTCTTGCTGTTGCCCTGGACTCTGCTGCTTCAGACAGCCCTCCCCCTTTGGGGTTCTTGGGCAAGAGTCAGATATGTGGGTACAGCCACCCAACACCTCTCTGACAGGTCTCCTTGAAACCCCTTCACTAGGCTTAAAGCTAGAGGAAAGCCATCTCATCCCGTCCAACTCGCCAAAGAAACCCCCCTCCCCCCAGCCTCTAACTCCAGCCTCCACATGGGCTATCCCTGCACCATGCCTGCTTGGAATAGTGGTCTTGGCACAGGCACCCTGGGTTTGAATCCTGGCTCTGCTATGTGAATACGTTGGAAATTGCAACAAGCCTTTATTTTTCCATTTATTGGCAGAGGAAGAGAGACCAGCATTGAAATGGAGCAACAGTGCGGAGGTGCTGAGCAGTTACTATATGCCAGGCACTGTGAGCACCTCCCATGTATTATTTCATTTACCCCTCTCGCCAACCCCGTATAGAAGGTATAATTAACCTGTTTTGGAATTGGGGAGATAGAGGCCCAGAGAGGTTACATAACTTGGCCTGGGGAACACAGCTGGTGAGGAGTAGAACTAAGATGTAAGCTCCAGTGGAATATTTCTGTGTGCTTTCCTGCCTTGCTGCCTCCAATATATATATCCTTGCTTTGGGGAAAAGAGTAGAAGGTGTTCAGGACAGCTCAGGGCACCACATGTGCTTTCTTCCTCTTTTTTTGGGTCCATTGAAACCCTTCCTGATGGTCTCCCAGGTCAGAGGCTAACTTCTGAGGCCTTCCGACTTCAGATAATTGACTGAGGGCTGCCAAGGATCCTGTCTCCCTGGAGACCTTGTTCCTCTAAGGGCTGAGCCTGTCACCCAGGAGGGCAGCTGGATGATGGATAGGTCCACTGCCAGGGTTCCAGGTTCAAAGGTTTCCAGGGTTGTAGGCTTTGGAGCTGTGGAGTTACTGGACCTCACCCAGATGGCCCGGGATAGGGCTGGGCAGATAAGGCAGGTTGCCTCAGCTGCCCCTTGGGGTTGCTCTCATTTTGCATAGGCTGGTAAAAGAGCCAAGGCAGAGCAGGACAGGGCAAGACACTTCCTGGCCCTACAGCTTCACTCTTTGTTGCCAGTACCGTGGAACAGATAAGAGCTGGGCAGGGATCCAGGCCTACCACCAGTGGGTGGTCCTGGTTAAGCAGCACCCTCCTGGGCCTGTTTTCTCATCCACTCAACCAGCTCATGGGCCTGCGGGGCATATAAGGAGCTTTGCATGGAGACTGGCACATGGCTGGTGCTCCAGAACCAACCATTAGGCTTATTTTTATCATTCAGCTCTCAAATATCCACAGCCAGCTTTCATGATTATGAGTTTTCTCCCCTAAGCATATATCCCAGTTTGTTCCCTAGCGCCTGTGTGACCTGGGCCACATCACTTCTCCGCTCTGGGCCTCAGTTTTTCTAGTCATAAAATGGGGGCCATCACAGTTGCCTCACAGGAATGCATAGGCCTGAATGAGATTAATGTAACAGTTCCCTTTCTGAACCTCAGTTCCCCAATTTGTGAAATGGGTTAATAGGGTTTTTTGGATCAAAAGAGGTTGTCAGCTGTTTAGTGTCTGGTTCTGCATATGGCAGTTCATAAACTGTAGCTTTAAAAGCAAGCCCAGAGGGAAAAAGAAAGAAAAAAAAAAGTAAAGACAAGCCCACACAGAGCAGGCATTCCATAAACAGAAACTGAATCCAAGTCACTTTCCAAGTTTTAAATTTTCTTCCCTGTGATAGATGGCATCCCAGCATAGAGAAAATAATTTCCACAATGCCTTCATTTGCCCATTTCTGAAATGGTTGGAGTTTTTGTACCACTCTTCCTGTCCTTCCTAAATAGGTTTGTCTGAACCGTGGGGGTAGGCCTGTTTCGTCCTGTCACATCATGGTTACGTAGATTTGTTATAATAAAGAAATGTGTTTTCTAGTGCCTTGCATTTCACAAAGAACCTTCATCTCTGTTGTGTTATTTACTTCTCCTAATAACCAAGTCAGGTTGGTTTCATTACGGCCATTTTATAGGCAATAAAACTGAGGCCCAGAGAGAACAAGGAGACCCACCCAAGGTCACAAGGTGTGTTAGGGGTAGTGGCAGTGCCAGGACTTGGGTCCTGTCATTAGGTCAAGCCCACAACTGTTTCTCTTAAAGACCTCTAAGCTCAGGGAGGGCACAGCAGAATCTCCTTCCTAGAACTACTCCCCTTAGCGCTCTATCCACCAGGCTGTGTGCTCCCTCCCAAGGGGGTCTCCCCACTTTGCCTGGCCCACCCCACTCTACCTGTGCAGGCCTTTGCACACAGGGGGAGCAGTCAACCGGTATCATTGTCATTACAGCAGACCTACTGTGTGCAGGTATTCCTTCTTCTTCAGGTGCTCCCACTCCTGCGGTGGAGATGTTACCCCAAGGAATAGAAAACAGGTGTTTTATTTACTTTTTTTAAATTATTTTTTTATTGAGGTAATGTTGGTTTACACTGTTATTCATATTTTAGAAGGGTAGGCTCCCCCTCCTTCAGGTGGTGTTACCACAGTGTCCCCACCACCGAAGCACCCGTAGCCCACGACCATAGTGCACTCCCTCCCGGCCTTGTGGAAAAGGAGTGTTTTAATAGAGGTTCAAACGTCGTACCTTGGGCCAGACAGTGGGCCAGACAGGTGAGGGACAGGCCCACCGATGGCGGTTGGGAAGCTCAGGCACCCAGAAGCAGCTCGTGAGGTGTGGGGTGTGTGGGTGTAAGTGGCCTGGGATTGGGGCTCAGGCTCTAGCTGGGAATCGGGTCCGCGCGCGGCTCCCCACTTGCGCTCACCCTTGCGGGCCAGCCAGGCCCCGCGGGGCTGGGGAGACGCGGCTCCAGTCCCTGGAGGTGGGTGCGGCCCAGCCGGGCCTCGGCAGCGCCCCCGCCCAGCCACGGGTCCGGGGCCCCCGCGGGGCTCTGCGCGCTCGCGTCCCCACCCGCGCCGCGACCGCAGGCCCCCCCGGGCTCCGTGGTCGCCCCCGCGGCGACCGCCCCGGCTCCGCCGGCCACACGCGGGGCAGCGCGGCGGGCCGCGCCCCGTGGGCGTGGCGGGGCGCTGGGGCTCGCCCGCGCGCGGGGCCCCGGAGCGCCGCTCCCGCCCGCCGCGGGTCCTCCCCCGGCTCGGGGCGGGGCCTCGCGCGGAAGCCCCTTTATCAGCCCCCGCGCGCCCGCCGCCCGCCGCCGCCGCGCCCCGCAGAGCTGGGCCGCAGGTACCCGGGCGCGAGCGCCTCGAGGGGCGCGGGGGCGGGCGGGGTGCCCTGGCGGGACGCCGCGGGGCGCGGGTGCCGGTGCCGCGGCAGGCTCGGGGCTGCGTGTGTTGGGGCGGGGGGTTCCGTGGGAGGGGGTGACCAAGGACGCGGGGAGCACCTCCTGCTCCGAGCGGGGGGCGTCTGGGAATCCCTGGAGGGGGCGCCGCTCTGGAGGGAGCGGGAGCCGCGAACGGGAGTCGGGCGGGAGGGGCGCGTCTCGCCAAGAGTTGGAGAAGCAGAGCCAGAGGGGAGCCGTCCGGGAGGGAGTGGGCAGCGGGCAGAGCTGACCCCGGGGGACAGGCCGGCCGCTCCCAGGAGCCACTGGAGGCGGATTCTAGGGGGACTCAGAAGGCAAAAAGGGGTGTGAGCGCTGGAACTGGGCGACCGCCTGGAGAGGGTCGGAGTTGGAAAACAGAGCTGGAAGCAGCCCTGCTGGACAGAGGGAGCTTGGACTCCCAAGAACAGGCCGCAGGGGTGGGGAAGTCCCCTTGGTGTTAGAAAAGGGAAGGGGTGGAGGGAACCCACACAGCACTGCAGGCTTTGAGGACCCCAGGAGGGCAGTTTCCTTAGGGCAGGCTCCGCAGGCCTGGTAGAGGGGAGGAGCCAGGGAGATTGAGAATTTCATGTATTCTTAAAGCCTTGCCGGGAAGATGGGCCAGAACCTCAGGTTTTAGCTGCCATGGCACAGGGGCCTGTGCACCTGGGATGGGGGCCTGGGGAGAGGCTGCCCCTCTCCAGCCTCATTTCCCCTGTCTGGAGGAACCCTTGTCTTCCCATTGCTTTTCTGCTCCCTGTGCTGGGCGACTGTAGCCAGCTCACTGAGCCTCGCTGGGCCTGCCGTCCTCCATGTTCTTCTCTGTCCTCGGAGCAGTTGTGAATCTGAGCAACAGGGAAAAATTCCTTTAAGAGTTATTTAGTAGTTCATGCCGATCACACTTTTCAGTATACGTGCAGTTACAAAAACAAAAGAACAATTCCTGTTCAGTGTTGAAAGACTTGGAGGGACTTTTTTGAAAACACACTGGGCAGTGTGTGTGTGTTTGAGGGGGGTGGTTTGCATTGAGGTGGGTTACCCAGTTGCCAGGAGATCAGGAGGCCAGCCAAGGATGAAAACTTTGCTTGCATAACCTTTGGCAACGCGCAGGGTGCCTGGAAGCTGACCTCAGCAGATGAATGACAAGAGCACGGGTTTGAGAGTCAGACAGACTTACTCTGCCATCCTGGCTGGAGCTGTGACCCCAGCTGAGATGTCAAAGGGGCAATGACTCCAGTTGAGACCAGGCTTAGCGCTGCTGTGAGGGAGAAGTAAAATGTGTGAGGAAGTTGTTTGTGAACAGTATCTTACTGTAAATTATTAATGTCAATGCCTAGTCTTATTAATAATATTTCAGGCTCTGCCCTGTTGTGTTATCCTTGTCAAGACCCCTCAGGAGGGTTTATCTCTGACAGCCCCAGTGTTAACACTTCTCTGAGCTTATTCTTTTTATCTAAAGAGGTTAGTTGCCTTCCCTGGAAGATAAAGTTGTCCTTAAGGGAGTATGCTGAACAATCCAAGCCCAGAAAAGCAACAATGAATATTTTGCATGACAGGAAGGAGGCAAAAGAGGAAGTAGAATTATAAGCAAGTAATACAATAGTTAAGTATTAGTTAATTAACTTCCAAGAATGCAGGTTATTAAATCCCCTTGGTGTTATCTTTAGCGTCAGTGGGGCTTTCAGTTCTGTGAGGGTGGTGTTTTCACTGGTTTGAGCTCTAGTGCCCTGCACATAGTAGGTCTAAAAAGAATGTTGTTGGAATGTCACAGAGCTGGAGAGGCCCTTTGAAATCATTGGTGAATTCACTCTCCTTGGACATTTGGAGAAACGGGCCAAGAGGGGAAGGGACTTGTCCAAGGTCATGAAGGGATTAAGTGGCTGAGCCAGGACTGGAACAAAAAGAAATAGTGGAGCCAGTGCTGTGCCAGAGCCAACACCCAGCATTTGCTTTCACGAGAGTCTAAGAGGTAACAATATTATTATCCTTTGATGATAAATGTGTAAACAGGCTCAGAAAGTTAAGGGACTTGAGCAAAGTCACACAGCTGTTAAAATTCCAGACCTGAAATTCTATCATAGAAAAATGGGGTTCTGGGGCTTCCCCTGCGGTGTAGCAGGTTGAGCACAGCACCATGAAGCTGTCCGCAGCCTCTGCAGCGCGGGTTCCATACCCGGCTGGCCAGCGAGATTCCCACATGGGGCGACAGACCTCTCCTGTTGCACCCACTGCTCCCCTCGGCAGTGCTTTCAGTCTGTTGGCCTATTCTGTTCCCAGCTCTGTCTCTGGTGAATCCTCTCACCCTCCCGCACCTCTGGCCTGTACCCCAGTTCTTGTATAAAGTTAAATAAATCTTAAAAAAAAGGGGGGATTCTGGCTTCTCTTGAGAGAGTGGCAAATGCCCTTCCCAGGGGCAGCAGCTCTCTCCACTCTGTGCTGACACCACCTGGGTGGCTTCCCTCTGGGGTGGGTTTTGTGTGGGTGAGTCCTGGCAGGGCAGCAAGCCTGTTTGCTTCGTTCATCTGCACCAGCCTTATAACTGTGCCTGGCACATGGTCAGGCGGAGTAAAACCCAGGGAATGGGTACCACCCAGGGCTTTCCCTCTCCAAAGCACATTCTCTGCCCCTTCCCTACAACCTGGTCTTCTGTTTTGTCCCTAGGAGTTTGGGGGGGCTCTGACAGTGTACTTCACATAGGACCAGGAGGAACTAGGGATGACAGGCCTTGGATGCGGAGGAGTGAGGTAACAAGGTTGACCCTGAGTTTAGGAAAAGGGGAATGTGAATGTGGAGGCCTGGGGACAAGGATGGAGCTGCTCAGACTGATGGAGGAGTCCCACTGGGGAACTGGGGATCTCAAGTCTGTGTCTCAGCCAAACCTCCTGAACCTGCATGACATGTCTGGCTGTGACGTGCTGTCTGGAGTAACTTTGGTTCACTGGGGCTGCTGGGATTGAGGCCCCTTTCCCTGGGGATTTCACTCTCAACCCCTCTCCTGGGTCTGTGAGCAAGTACAGGTCTTCTGGGCTCTGTGAATCCAGACGGTTACTCTGCGTGGTCTTTGCTGAGAACAATTTGATTATTAAATAAGGTCATTGATCCCAAAAATCCAAATTCAAGCCAAATTCCTCTGGTCCCCAAATGTACCTTCAGAGAAGGGTGAATGTTTAAAGAGATAGAGTTAGCAAGCTAAGGCCCCCCCAAATCCAGGGGAACTAGCTAATGAGGGCTAAAGGCGGATGAGGTTTTTAGAGAACACTGAGCAAATCTCTCAGACTGAGGGGATTTCGAATATTACCACTCTTGTTAGAGTAGCGGTCATTTATTGAGGTCCTAAACTGTGCCCAAACTTTATTCTAATAAATGTAATCTTTGCATCAATCCATAAGGTAGATGCTATTATTTATTCCCTCGGAGCTAAGGATTAGCGAAGGCAAGTCACATGTCTTAGGACATGTAATTGGGAGGCAAACCTTGTTTGTCTGAATCTGCAGTCCATCTCCTTCACCAGCCTTTATAGTGCCTGCTTTCTCCCCAACTCCTAACTTCCTTCTGCTTCCCACTGACCAGGGAACAGAAGCCATTCAAGTTTGCCTGATATCCATCAGCCTGGATACCTGGTCTCAGGCCAGCTTTGCCGGCCGGCTGTGTGATCTTGGGTAAGTCATGATTTTTCAGCCAGCCACCCACCCACTTCTTCCTCCTTTTCCCCAGATGTTTCATGTCCAGCTTAGTGAGCTTCTTTCTGCGGCTGAGGCCTGGCCAAGAGGACAGTTTAGCTTGAATTGATGGGGGAGGGGAGAGGTATAGCTGTTGTCTTTAGCCCCACCCTCCAGTGACATCACACAAGACACCTCCAGTCCCTGGAAGCCCCGCCCCTAGTGACCCTCTCCTGGTGGAAGTGTCCCCCAGTGCTTGGCATCTGGAGAATTTGTCCAGTCCCACAGCAGAAGTCATCAGCCCTCCCCCCGGCTCAAGAGAAACCCCTAGGTAACGAGTGCAATTTGGGAGGCCTGGAGGGGGCCATAGACCTGGGGTGGGGTGTGGGTCCTGGCAGCCAGATGGCCAGACTTCTTGGGGGATGTCCTGAAGGTGCCCTCTGGTGCCATCTCATCCTTCCACTTCATGATTGGCTCCTGGCCCTGCTCCTTTCTTCTGGATTCAGGCCCCTTCCCCCTTCCTGTGGGATCAGAAGATAGGAACTAATTTGAAAATAGATCTGTTCAGGTGGAATGGGGCTTCTGGCTGAGGTTTAAAGGAAATAGGGTCGCAGGACCTCTGTGTGATATCCCTGGTTTCCATATTTAGGGCGCACTGTGTTGGGGAGAGAGTTGATTGGGAATGAATTACCACCTGAGAAGGTAACTATGAGTCAGGGCTTCACTGGTATAGAGCAAATGGGTATTTGATACTGGGGGGAGACTGAGTCCCTGAATGCAAGTCAATGACTAGCAAACTAAGGACATAATTTACAAGAAGGGGCTTTGTTGCCTGCTTTAGATCAGTGTTTTCTGTGGCGTGCAGATACGTGGCAAACAGTCTCGGTGAACTGGGTCCAAATCCTGGCACATATATGCTTGCTCTCTCTCTCTCTTACACACACACACACTGTAAGTACCTCTAATCTCTCTGAATTTCCCTATTCTTAACATTAAATTTCAGCTGGTTATGTGATAAAAGTATTACTGGGAAAGGATTGTACTTGAGAACCAGCTACCTGCTAGGCACCAGGGGATCACAAAATAATGAGACTGTTTGCCTACTCGAGGCCACATTAACAGTTTTAATGCTCATGAGAAGTGTTGATGGTCAAAGGATGGGCAGGTACTCAAGTAGAAGGGTCATCATTGGAAATTCAGGGGGTCAGGGAAAGTATCACAGAAAAATGGGCTTTGAGAGATGAATAAGAGTTTCCTAAGTGGGCAAGATAGGGAAAAACATCTCAGGTGGAGGAAATAGCTTGTGCAAAGCTATACTCACATGAAACAGCAGGCCAGAGGTTTGGTGAGGCTGTGGCTGTATTTGAAGTGCGTTGTGGTTGATCAGGAAGGCTGGAAAAGGTAGCAGGGACCAGATCATGTAGGGTGATGGTGGGTCAGTCTGCAGGGTCTAAAACCCTCTGCAGGGTCTACAGGTAGAGGGAGTGGGCCTGTTGGCAAGGTCATTGTCGCCAACAGGTAAACACTAATGGTGACACAAACACAGGAAGAAATCATGGGGACTGCTATGAGGTGTCTGACCCAGAGAGGAAATGGCAGAGCTGGTGATCCTCATTCATTAACGCAGTCCTCAAACATTCCAGTGCCTCCTGTGTGTCAGGCACTGTTCTAGGCACTGGATACATCAGGGAGTAGATCGTGAAGTCTGCCTTAGTTTGACTCCTCTCCTCCTAAACTCAGTGTAGGATTAAGGGGGGAGAGAGGGGAGAAAGAGGGAGGGGAGAGGAAGCACTGGGCATTCCCAGCCTCCCAGTTGCTGCTCGTGGGGGGTTAAGGGGTTGAGAGAACCAGCCCCCTGACTTTGCTCTGGCTTCTCTCCCAGCTCCCTGCCAGGCCCACAGCTATGGCCACCATGGTGGCCCAGAAACTCAGCCATTTCCTGCCCAGTTTGCGGCAGCTTCACCAATCTCCTCAGCCATCTGTGCAGCCAGAGCCTGTCTTCACAGTGGACCGAGCCAAGGTGCCCCCGCTTTTCTGGAAGCCCTACATCTATGTGGGCTACCGGCCGTTGCATCAGACCTGGCGCTTCTACTTCCGCACGCTGTTCCAGCAGCACAACGAGGCCGTGAACGTCTGGACCCACCTGCTGGCGGCCCTGGTGCTGCTGCTGCGGCTGGTCATCTTCTTGGGGACCGTGGACTTGGGAGATCCACATGCCCTGCCCCTCTTCATCATTGTCTTCGCCTCCTTCACCTACCTCTCCCTCAGTGCCTTGGCTCACCTCCTGCAGGCCAAGTCTGAGTTCTGGCATTATAGCTTCTTCTTCCTGGACTATGTGGGGGTGGCTGTGTACCAGTTTGGCAGTGCCCTGGCGCACTTCTACTATGCCATTGAGCCCTCCTGGCACGCTCAGGTGCATACCATCTTCCTGCCCATGGCCGCCTTTCTTGCCTGGCTCTCCTGCACTGGATCCTGCTACAACAAGTACATCCAGAAGCCCGGCCTACTGGGCCGCACTTGCCAGGAGGTGCCCTCGGCACTGGCCTACGCACTGGACATCAGCCCCGTGGCCCACCGCATCCTGGTGTCCCCTGCCACGGACGACCCGGCTCTTCTCTACCACAAGTGCCAGGTGGTCTTCTTCCTGCTGGCTGCTGCTTTTTTCTCAGCTTTCATGCCTGAGCGCTGGTTCCCTGGCAGCTGCCACGTCTTCGGGCAGGGCCACCAAATCTTCCATGTCTTTCTGGTGCTGTGCACATTGGCTCAGCTGGAGGCTGTTGCACTGGACTATGAGACCCGCCGGCCCATCTACGAGCCTCTGCACACCCGCTGGCCTCAAAACTTCTCTGGCCTCTTCCTCCTCACTGTGGGCAGCAGTGTCCTCACCGCTTTCCTCCTGAGCCAGCTGGTACGACGTAAACTTGACCAGAAGACCCAGTGAAGAGGGTGGCAGTGGCAGGGAGGGAGGTTTAGTGGGGGCCCAGGGTCCGGGCTTGGCTCCAGATGGGAACAAGGCCTGGTAAAGTTGTTTGTGTCTGGCCGCGGTGACTCTCTGCGCACGCCTCTGCTGCCAAGGTTGGTGCTGGTCAGACCTAGGATTTGGGGATTGGCCCCAAAGGAGCTGCTGGAGTCCACTTCTGGGCCTGCCTCGATTCCCTGCCCTGGGAGAGGGACAGAGATCAAGATGTAGGCCACCCTGGTTTGCCTCCTCCCATTGCCACTCACTTGGGGTGAGGATGGGGGATTCAGCTTGGACCAGGAACCTGGTTTGGGGTTTCCAGATTATCTGAAAGGGGGTGAAAGTGCAGGTAGGACTTGGACTGTGAAGATAGGCCCAGAAAGTGAAGGTAGGCCCAGAGTCAGATTTGAAGAGTCAGAGGGGAGACCTCAGCAACTTTCCTCTATCCAGATTTCACTGGTGGATAGGATAAGGACAGGCCCCGAATGTGTGTAGGATCTTACCTTGAACCCCAGTCTGGAGTTTTGGAGCTCCAGAGAGTCCCCAAAGGTAGAAGATTGTGCCAGGTGGGGATGGCTCTCATCCAGTACTCCACACCGTACCTCTTCAGTCACGGTCCCAGATAGTGAGCCCCAAGCCTCCCAGTTCTGGTTTCTGTGTTCCCAGCTGTGGTTTCTGTCTTCCCACCTGTTCCCAACCTGTCTCCTTGCCCCTTGTTCAGGATTCAGTTGTCCATGCTGTATCCTGGGTCTCTGCTCGGAGGCGGGCCACTGGGTGAGCCATGTGGATCAATGCAGGACCATAAAGGTTTTTGTATAGAAACGGACTGTCGGGAGAGAAGCACTGAGGAGGGAATAATCAATGCTGCCTGGGACCCTCAGGGTCTTGGGCTGGGAACAATGGAGTGTGCAGATGAGAGGAGAAAGAGCATTCCAGGCAGAGGAAACAAGCCTATGCAAAGGTCCAGAGATAGAAGTTGTCTGGGGCTGGAGCCAGGGATGATCTGGACACTGATAAGTCCTGGATGCAATAAAGTGACTGTGATAACAGCTGCTCTTTGCTTTTTGTCTCCAGTCCCAGGGAGGTGGCGCTGGCTCCCCCAGGGATTGCTCAGATGTTGGCAGACAGGAGGAAGTCCTCTGGGGGAAGCTGGAGTCCCTGGGGTTGGGCACAGGGAGAAGGGACATAGTGCCTAATTTTGGGGGACTGGGGCTATATATGTATATATATATATATATATATATATACACACACATATACTATATATACACTATGTATGTGAACTCTTGTGGGGGGGTAAGGGAGCAGGGGAACAGTTTTATTACTAAGTTTTAGAAATTAAAAGAATGTTTAAAATATGCTCAATTCCACCTAATTTAACAAAGATTTCATATTTTGGTCTTTCCTTCAATTAAGGAGGATTTTATGTTAACTTTTATCAAATTGTTATGTTAGCTTTTATTTTTACTGCAAGTTTATTAAGAAAAAAAGGGAAAAAGAGACATCTGCATAGAACAGACTGTTGATCTTGAAGGACAAGATCTGCCCCTTTTGTAAGATTGCTTTCCCACAGTACACGTGAGAATATATGTACAGTGAAGGGAAATTAAGAAGTACAAATAAGAAAAAACCCCAAATAAGAAATAACACTTTACTCCTATACTGTATAAGATTTTTTAAATTTCTTTTAAACGTTTTTCTTTTTTTTAATGTAGTTTAAAAATTTTAAAGTATACTCTGTGTGTGTGTGTGTGTGTGTGTGTGTGTGTGTGTGTGTGTGTGTATGTAAAGTTACCATCTATGGAGATTTTGATTAGGAATGGATGGTCGGTGCGTTTTTGGGGGGCTTCCAGAATTTGCAAAGTACGTTCACGAAAGTTTCTCACTTGATCCTCTTTAAAATCCAAGTTCACACATAAGCAGTTAAGGCAGGACTGAAAGCTGGTTCTGGACTCCAAATTTTTAGCTTTCTTTTTATTAAACATTTTCTTAATCCTCTCCCATGTGGTTTCATAGTGATTCACGAAACTAATGAAGTCGGGTCTGCACGTTAACTATTTAGTGCGCAGACGACCCCCCCCCCCGCCCCGCCCGCGCAGAGGAGCCGGGGCCCCAGCCCTTCTTTGGGGGTGATGGTGGGGATTCGGCGACGGGACCAGGAAACCCGACGCTCCGGAGTCATTATACATTCAGAAAGAAGGTGCACATTCCTTGTGTCGTGTCACGAACGCGTCCACACGGCGCCGATTCCGAACTACAGCGCTGGAACCAGGAGATCGGGAAGAACGCGCGGGAAAGGTGCTCCGCGCACCTGGCAGCCCGACCCCGGTCCCCAACGCCGCGGGCGGGGCTTAGGGAAAGGGGCGGGGCTTGGGCCGGCGCGGCGGTGACGCTAGGGGCGGGGTCTGCGCCTGCGCGCTAAGGCGCAGCTCCGCCCCCAGCGCTGGCGCGCGATTCGAACGTCGGCGAAGGCGACTGGGGCGCGTCTCTGAGGAGCTGGGTGTCGCGCCCCGGGTGGCTCGGTCTCCTCGGGGGACATGAGGCGCACAGGCCAGGAGGAGGAGGAGGCGTGCGGCGTGTGGCTGGACGCAGCGGCGCTGAAGAGGCGGAAAGTACAGGTGGGGCGTTGGAACGCGTGAGGGGCGAGGGAGGGCGCGGGCGGCGGGAGAAGGGAGGAGCTTGAGGGGACCCGGGGTGGTGGAGGTGAAGTCGGGGGCCGAGAAGGCAACAGCGTTGGGAATTGGTGTCTGAAGAAGGATGAAAAATGAGGCTTGGGACGGGTGGAGAGAAAACGGGGGCGGCAGGCAGGCTGTGGAGGGACGCGGGGAGACTGGGCCACCTGGGTTTCCAGGTATGGGGGCGACGGTGGGAGAAAATGAGCTCCGAGAAGTTCAGTCAAGCCGACCGCTCCGGAGCTCGGCGTCCTTGCAAGACGTCGGGGAAGAGGCTGAAGCTTTTAGGAGAGGGGCGCGTGTGCAGTCTTGTGGGAAATTCTCATCCTGAGCCTGCGGCTGTTGACCTGCCTGGAGCCTGTAACTTGAGGGGGGAAATAGAAGAGCTGGGAGGGCGAACTGGCCTAATCCTTAATGGAGCACCCGCCGGGAGGCGGATCCTTTATTAAGTATTTAGCAGCGTGCCTCGCTGCAGCACCCTCGCGCGGGATGCGGAAATTGGTAAGAAGTAGCCCAGGTTCACCCAATTAGGAAGGGCTGGAAATCGCACCCATGTGTGTCCCATATGCAAGCTTCTCTGTTAGTTAGTACAAGGGAACAAAAGCATGGGGTGATAGTCCTTAATGTTTCAGTGGGCATTTTATGCCATGCATTGTGCTGTTTCAGATTGGTTTTTTGGTTCAACTCTGTATGGCAGATGGGCACAATGGGTATGGTAATACACAATTTCCGAATAAGAACTGAGGCCCAAAACATATAAGGGCAAGATTCTTGCTCTCAAGTTGCTTACAATCTTTTGGAAGAAAAAAGACATGTATACTAGAGAATAATGACAATAAGTAACATTTGTTGAGTGTTTGCCATGTGTCAGGTACTTTGCTGAGGCATCATATGGCTTATCAAATGGCAGGTCCTTACAGAAATGCAGCAAAGTAGGTAGTGTTTCATTATCTCTTTTATAGGTGATAAAAGTGAGCCTTAGATTAAGACATTACCTAGAGGCTGATGCTTTTAACTATTATAAGGTAGAATGTGACCAGGTGAGAGTTCCCAAGGGAAATGTGATATGAGAGGCTAGAGAGATGCTTATGACTCAGGGTTACTAAGGAAGATTTAACTGAGCAGGTAGAAAAAAATTTGAGATTGGAAGGGTGTGGTGAACTTGAACAGTTAGCACAATAGTCTAAAGATAATGTGGTTAATCTAATCCAAACCATGAGTGAGAATCTTTTCTGTAGAAGATACAAGATGTTGAACAGAACAATTGACTCAAAAAGCATCTTGTAAGTAAAGTCATTTTTTGGGAAAAAAAAAAAAAAACACTCCTTTAAATTTTTTTTTTAATTTGAGATGAAGTTAACAAAATTAACCATTTTAAGTGAACAATTCAGTGGTATTTAATACATTTACAGTATTGTGGAGCTATTACCTCTGTCTGGTTTCAAAATATTTCTATCACTCTAGAGTAAAACCTGTACACATTAAACAGTTTTAGCCTTAAAATAAATATTTTTTTAATGTGAACATATTTTGGTGTATGTAATGCATTCATGTGGTACATGATTTTAAATGTGTAGGCTACCCAGTGAAATATCTCCATGGTATTTCTGACCCCACCCTTCCCCATTTCAGAGGCCACAACTTTCTCCTGTATCCTTGGAGAGATTCTACTCATCTGTAAGCAAATTTGTATATCTGTTCTTTCTTATGAACAGTAGCATATTCCTAGATACACTGTTCTGCAACTTGCATCACATAGAGCTGATTTGTTCTTTTAAAAGATATATTGTATTCTACTACATGAAATAGTGTTTTACTCTGTGGGCTGCTGTAACAAAGTACCATCAACAGTGGCTTAAACAATAGAATTAATTTTCTTACACTTCTGGAGACTGGAAGTCCAAGACTAGAGAGCCAGTATAGTTGGGTTCTGATGAAGGTTGTCTTTCTGGCTTGCAGAGAGATGCCTTCTTGTGTGCTCACATGGCCTTTCCTTGGTGTGTGTGCACATGTTTATGTATGTGTGTGAAGTTCTTTCTTGAACAATTGTCCCTAGTCTTTTGCTATTAAAAAGCACTCTACAATGAAGAATTTTATACACATCATTTTGCACATGTGCAAATATATCATCTGTGGGATGAATTTCTAAACAGGGAATCAGTTCAAAGAATGTGTTTGTTTTTAAAATTAAGACCATGAAACATAACATTGTTTAGCAAATACAAAAGTCTCTTCCTAGCCATAGTTAAAACTTGGGGCACTTGAGGAATCAAACTTGTTTTCTACAAAGCAGGAATTTTGAGAGAGGATCTGAGTCAGCCTTAGTATTTTGTGTTAAGTGAACTGCTAAATCAACAATTTAAAGTTATCTTGCTTCCTTGGGATGTCTTTGTTCTCTAGTTTGTGAATTAGTGTACAAAAAGTATGAATTTTATCGTAGCACTTTCAGAATGGTGGCTTTTAATATACGGAGCAAGGTTAATTTATTTGGCTTAGGGAAATATACGTATTTATCAACAATGACCAAAATGTGCAATGGCTAATTTATTACTTCCTGAATTGGGTATAACCCTTTTATACCTTTAGTATACATTCTTGAATGGTATGGGGGTAGGTGGGAAACCTGTGTACCAGCTTAATTTAAAAAAAGAAGAGGAGTGAATGAGAGCTAGGAAGAGTTCAGGAGAAAGAAAGGGAATGATGTCCTGTGGGGAAGAGGAGAGCCAGTACTTGCCTCTGTGTGTGTAACTCTGGCACCCCAGATGACACGATTTTCTTTAATGGGGTTAAGATGAAAACATTTGTCCTGTTGATCTAGAGTGGCAGGAATCCTCTCTCCAGGATCCTCCAGCGTTCTCTCCAGATCCTTGCCTTTCTCTTGATTTCTGGAAGCCTGAATCTTGTCCTGAACCATAGTCACCCACAGTTTCCTCCTCATTTTTGTTCCCAAAGATACTTGTTTAAAACTGTGGTTCCCTGAGTATTTTCTTTAGTCCCTTAACTTTGAAATATGTAGAGGAAAGGAGAAGTAGATGTAATAACTGATAGGGAGATGGGAATGCAAAGATACCAGCAATTCTGACTGAGTCGTCAGTGGTTTCTGAGCCAGCCTTGGCAGACTACTGGATGTCAGCTCTGACATTCTGCATTTTTACTAACATCCCGTCAACAAATCTTCTGGACCCTGCCTTCACATGTATTCAGAACTCATTTTTTATCACTGCTACCTGAGCTAGAGGGGCCCTCATTCAGTATTAAGTTTAAAGCCATCTGGTTTTCCTATATTCCTGTAAGAACAAGATCCTATTAAGGCCCAAGGTGTGATCTGGCCAAGAATACCCTCACAATTTTAGACTTCATTTACTCCTTTTTTCTCTGTCCCACTCTGCCTCCACCATTCTGGCCTTCAAGCCAAGTACACTTCTACTTGGAACTTTTGTACCTCTGTGCTGAAATACATAGTGGTTAGATAGCCACATGGGTCTGTTCCTTCATTTGGTCAAATATCAGCTTGTCATTGAGTCCTTGGCATAGTTACATTAAAACACCTTCCCTTTATCCCCTATTTCCAGTACTCTCTAACCACCTATTCTTAGTGATATACTATATATACTGTATATTTACTTGTTATCATCTTCCCCTATTAGCATGAAAGTTCCATCAGGCAGTCCTTTAAACAGTGTCTTAAACATAGTAGGCACTCCGCAGACCTCTCCTGCCACCCGCTGCTCACCTCAGCAGTGTATTTCGTCACTCTGCCTGTTCTGCTCTCCGCTCTGGCTCTGGTGAATTCTCTCACCCTCCCGTGCTTCTGACTGTACCCAGTGCTTGTATGAATAAATAAATAAATCTTAAAAAAAAAAAAAAAACCATAGTAGGCACTCAGTAAATACGTTATTTATTTATTATTTTTTTAAAGATTTATTTATACAAGAACTAGGGTACAGGCCAGATGTGCAGGAGGGTGAGAGGATTCACCAGAGACAGAATGGGGAACAGAACAGGTGGACTGATGAAATACATTGCTGAGGGGAGCAGCGGGCGAGACAGGAGAGGTCTGCTCACCATGTGGGTTGCTCCAAGGCGGATGGGGATTGAACTGGCACTGCAGAGGCTGTGGACAGCTTCACAACGCTGCGCTCAACTGCCTGTGCCACCAGGGAGGCCCCAGTAAATACTTTTTTTAAGCCAAGGCTTTGGTCTAGTTAGAGTTTTTCCTCTTTTAAAGTTATTTGCATTTTGGGCCTCCCTGGTGGCGCAGGCAGTTGAGTGCAGTGCTGTGAAGCTGTCTGCAGCCTCTGTAGCACAGGTTGGATCCTAGCCTCTTAAGTATAGTATAAAACAGAATAAGTATAAAACAAACAATGTATCCTTTCTGTCTGTCCGCCTTCCTAAAATATTTGTTGAATTGAGGATCTACCACATGTATTAAGCTAGTTTTGTGGAGGATAGAAAATAAAGTATGTAAATCAAATGTTGATCTCAGGATTTTGTAGGTTAAGCCTTGAAATGCCGAGTAATCAACATTCAATTTAGAAAAAAGTCACATCTGATTGGGAATCAGAAGGTCTTAGAACTAAGCTGAAGTATATGTAGCATTTGAGGATTGGGTGTGATTAAAGACCCTTCTGTGTGAGGCAGAGGAGAGAATGGTGGTAGCCATAATACAGCATGTAGCTAAGTATTATGTTATGTGAAGGGTTTTTTGGGCAATGAACGAAAAAGTAAACTGGAATTATATCGATGAGATATAATCGAGAGTCTACTACACTTTATGCGATAGGTAACAGAGAAACTGTTGACAGGTTTTGTGCAAGATGGTGTGATCACAGCTGTGCTTTAAGATTAATCTAGATGTTGGGTGTAGCAAAGGGTGCTTGACTAGTTAAGAGACTATTACAGTAATCTAAGACTAGGCAAGAGTTTATGACATTCTAAACTAACTA